GCAGTAGCAGTATTGCTCAAGTCCCCTGCTTTACAGTATTCATTCCTCCCCCATTTTCCCGAGATCAGCTTATCTTTATCTTGCAGAAAACAGTGAGTGAGGGTCTTTTTAAGGGGTCCAGCTTGATGGTATTCCACTTAACTCCAAAACCTATTCCTTCCCCTCACAACACTCAGCCCAGAGTTTAGCAAAGTAAGCAATTCCCTAAATTCTCTAGAAGTCTGTGTTAGAATCATCTCATTCATTTCTTTAGCTGGCTAGGACCTTCTCTGTCTACTATGGGATATGTGGCAGAAGGGGATGAACCTCTGTAATTAGCGGCTTTACACCTTTCCAATGGGATCTGGCTGCAGAATGCCTGGGTGCTGTCTCAACAGCAACCATTCCTGTGCACAAGGACACTGCCAAATATTTCTTGTGCTTCTCCCAAGCTCTCTTCAAGCACAGATCTCAGAACACACTATAATTAGTACAATCACCCACATCCTGTCTAGATGAGCAGTGTTTTATACGTACAAATTCCCCTTTGCCCTCTGGCCCTTCAGGTGAATGCAAATGTTTCCAACTTTAAAGAGTGAAGAATAGAGTGATTGAAAGGAGCTGTATCTTGGCCAACACCAAAGACCTCAAAGGCATTTATAGTTGACCTATATGAGAAAACATGGTGGCGACAAAGTGGGTCATGATGGCCTATCCGCCACACTCTGCTAATAACTGGTTAAAAGATAGGTAAGACGGGAAAAGAATGAAGCATGCAGTTCTTACAAATCGCATAATCTCAGAACCCAAATTCTCAGTCTCTTTTGCTAAGTTTTCAAATGTTCTAGAAGTTGTAAAGTGGTGGCACTAGCTTATGATCCAGTTACTTGAGTTAATCAAGGAAGAGAAGACAGACGGGGCCAATTAAGTAGCTGGGCTGTCCAATGATAGATGAGTCATTATAGGTAAGTGCAAAGATAATGCCACTGGGAAAAGCAATTTAAATCATTTGTGCACTTCCAGACCAGGAAATCCTCCTAGTCTTTGAGGGGAACATTTAGGAATCATCAGGCCCAGCCTGATGAAGTCATCTGTTCATCGTGTAGCTAACAATCAACAAAAGAGCTGAGTACACAAGGGGACAGGACATATGGAATACATTTGGGTGGCTGGGATGTGTATCCATGCCTTCTTTTCAATCACCTTTATAACACATCTTACCACTGCCCTCTTCTAGTCCCTTGACCCTTCTCCCTACTCTATGCTCTTATCTCCCTAAACGTGGAGTTTCAACCTATAGGTAAATTTTTCAGGTGAATATCATCCTTCATAATTTCTACTTTTATACTTCAAATTGGCTATTCCATGTACACATACAAGTTTCCAAGAGACATTATAAAACAAATTTTTTAACTGACTTAAGAGTCTGTGTCTACACAGTAGAATTTATACAGATAGCCCTGAATATTTTCAGATCCCATACAATTGAGAGCTCTAGACTTGGAGAGCAGAGAAATTATTTTTTTATTGTTGTTCCTTTTGGTTTTTGAGGCATGACTGAGTGTGGGGGGAAAGATGTATACGTGAAAGTAAACCATTCTTGTGACTCCCTGTTTTCTTCAATCCAATGGCCTTCCAAGAACCCCAGAGTAAAGGTTGTTATTAGTGATTGCCATATTGAAAACTCCCAGGAATATTATAATATTTTTACATCTCCTGCATGTTTTCTCTGTCTCTGTTTCAGTCTCTGTCTGTGTCTGTGTCTCTGTTTCTCTCTCCCCTCCTACCCATTTTAGGTTACCATCATCACAATTTAAGTGTTGGATTCTTCAATCCCTGTGCAAGCATCCTTCCTAATCGTCCCTTGCTCTGGCTGACACTCAATCAAAACTCACCCAGTCCCCTACCACCCTACTATGTTCCCCATCATTGAACCATTGCATTGTTTTCTCTGAGTGCCTGCTCTTTTCTGGTGGTTTTCTACCTAATAATTTACTCACACTTTAGATCCCAGTCTGATTATCATTGGAGCCAGGCTACCTTATACTTGTTCTAGTCTCCCTAGTGTGAACTGTCATAACACTATATATAACTTTTCCTTTGTGGTATTCATTAGAGTTGTGGGTGTATCTATATCCATAACATATATATCTAATATGGTTGTTTAATTTCACACCTAACTTCCCACTGATCATAACCCTTTTCTGTTTTTGCATCTTCTAATCTCATTGCTACTAATGAATTTCGTCTAGTCTTCATAGATTGCCCTCACTTCTCTTAACCAATGATTCACTCTGTCTCATGGACTCTGCTAACATTTTTTCTCCCTTTTCTTCTAAATTTTTTTCCATCAACTGTTAGTTTTAAGTTTTTTATATCTGAACTCGACTAGAAAGAAGATCTGGTTGGCTTATTTTATCTTCTCTTTGTAAAAGTTCCTGTAACAGACTACATCATGATTCCCTTGCCAATATTCAAATGAACTTCCATAGGTCAAGGCCACTATCTGTGGCCAGCATTAGGGAATTAAAATAGCAACAGGTTTTTTTTTTTTTTTTCATGATCTGCTTACCAGGAACTACAAAATTTGGGCAAGTATCTTCCTTGAGAACTAGAGTTAGATAAAGAGCAATCACAAAAAAAAGAAGAATGGAGCCGGGCGGTGGTGGTGCACACATTTAGTCCCAGCCTCAGAAAGCAGAGGCAGGTGGATCTCTATGAGTTTGAGGCCACCGTGGTCCTCAGAGTGAGTTCCAGGATAGCCAGGGCTGTTACACAAATAAAACACTGTCTTGGAAGAAAAATGGACAAGTGCCACATTTAAAATGTATCCTACTTATTGGTTCTACTAAAAGAAAACTTCATTCCTCTGCATGTACAGTTGGCACAATTAGGCAATGAATGTAAAGTTCCTTTAGAACTAATAAGCAAAGAAAATTTGTGAAAGAAGATCTGACGTATTTGGGAAATGACTGATCCTACTACTCAACATACCAGAAGACTAGATAAACAAATGACTCCAGGAAGACAGGCTACTCTTTCACTTTACTCATGTGTACATATCTTCAGGCCCCACAGCTAAAGTGAAGGGGGCTCCACATGGTCTTCTTTTTTATCAGGGTTTGGACTCTCATCCTTGATATCTGCCCAACCCCATACAGCATGAGGCCTTCAATCTTTCCACTTTCTATAGTATAAAAATCTATTACGTAAGATTATGGTCATCATAAAGTAGTAAGACATAAGTTACTAAATGGTACCTGTTTATAACAGTGATGGCATTATACTATACTATACTATAGTCATTGTTGTACTATAATCATTGTTGCTGATACTGTCTTTTTAATATTCATTTATGTAATTCTCTCACTGTGTGTCTCTGTATAGCTTATGATCTGTGTGTGTGTGTGTGTGTGCCTATAACCACTGAGCAATCTCACCCAAACTCTATTCAAATTATTTATTGAGACTGTTATATCCTTTAATCCACCTGAACAAAGTAGATGCCATCTGTCACTCAGGAAACATTCGCTCATAGCTGGCAGAAGAGATCATTTATTAGTTCACACAACAGAAAGTTTAAATGATGTCCCAGCTTAGCCACGGCTAGATGCAAGGGTTTCACTTAAGACCCCCACTATCTTGTGCCTTGGATTTTATCCAAGTCAATAACATTCTTGGCAGGTTTCTGCAATGTGTGGACAAAGATCTAGCTTCCCGTTCTTTCACTTCTTTAGTGGATCTGAGTCTAAGACAGATGTTCCAAAATTCTATTCCATCACTAAACCAACAATCTGAAGGATAGACTATTCCAGTTGGCCCAGTCATTGCAGTAAAGGTGAAATGTACCAAGTTCACTCAAACATCATTATCTACAGGAGGAAAAATGCTGAACAAAGGATGCCCTACAGCTCAACTATTTTTCAAGGACCAAGATGACCACAACTAACATGTTTCCTGAAATTTTCACTTTTTCCCTCTGGAGAGTTACAAACACCCACGAGTATTATTCAAAATGCTGGTTAACTTCTAGTGCATGACCTCAGTCAAATTTAAATGAGCACCTGACCAAACAGAATGGAAGTCAGCTAGAGACAGCCACAACTAAAGTGGCACATTCTGGCTGAATAGCAACCCTCTGCCAAATGCTAACACTGAGGTAACATTTAGGATGCATAGAATTTTGAATCCTATTCATTCTCATTGAGCAAACACCTGCTAACTCTGGCTTGCTTGTTCACCTATACCTACTAAAAGGAAGGACTGATGCAAGCAGATATCTTCAGAACCTTTTCTTCTCTTTAGTTCCCTTTGTCACCTTAAGAATGTGACCACAGGACTGAGGCATATGCTTTGGACAGAGGATGATCTTTGAACTGAACTAAAGCATGAGTATCTTTGACGTGAACACACGTGTTTTGTGGCCTGCTTTAAACAAATGTTGCCTTTCCTTTCTGCCCGAGAAAAGCAGAAATTGCCTTTTCCTTCCCCTCTCTCTCTACTGCTACCAAATGAAACTGCCCTGGCCTCAGCTGGCCCCATCCTTGTTCCATAGCATGTTTCTTCTTTAAATTGAAGTTGAGGTTACATCAATTGCCCTTTGATTAGAGACTTAGTCTAGGAATTTAATGGGATAGTTCAATTTGGGTAAAGAATGTTACCAACTGAATGAGTGAGTGAGTGAGTGAGTGTGTGTGTGTGTGTGTGTGTGTGTTTGTGTGTGTGTGTGTGTGTGTGTGTATTCCTTTCTTACTACACTCAATTCTCCTGATTTAGTGTCTTAAACACTTAGCATAGAATATATACACAAGAGGTACCTGCTCCCACTGGTTCTGCAGCTTGCTTGCATCACTAAGCACGCCCTTTTCCCATGTTGTCTCCCAGACACAACACAGTACTTGTGTCTGATCATCCTATTCCCAACCCTTCCTGGCTGCTATGCAATGTTTGCCAGATGAACCTGACCTTTACTTCCCCCTTCCTTATGGAGATTGAAGGGTGTCATGCCTGTCTCCTTCCAGGTCGACAGAGAATACAGCAACTTACAAAAAACATAAAATACTTCCGACAGCGACTGACAGAAATGGGATTCATTATCTACGGCGATGACTACTCTCCCATTATCCCGGTGCTTCTCTACATGCCTGCTAAAATATCGTGAGTATCCAACAACCCTCAGAATCATGCAAATGATCAGTGTGTCATGACCGAGGTGGTATATTTGACACCATGGGGTTTTTCTGTGCATGAATTAGATTATGTGCTTGGAGGGGTACTTGAGTTCTGACCTCAGACACATAACTTCTCAGTAGTGTGAACATTCTGTCATTGCTAATTATCACTACTCTCCTTTGATGTACTAATTAGTAGTAGTTTCAACTGAACACAAAGTTAAGTTGCCATGGTTGCATGGCTCCCCAAAATAATCATCATAGTCACTGAAAGCAGAACTCCTAAAAACAGTACTAAATAACCTGCTACCTTGCAGGAATTATACAATATTGAGCCCTAGATCCTGGTTCCCTGCAGCTTAAGACTGTTCTTCAGAAGAAGCTAACATTGTGGAAGTTGGTTATATTCTAAATAAGGTGTTTTGACCTTTTTGAACACTCACCATGGATGAGGTGCTTGCCCCCAGTTTATAAATAGAATTATGAGACTAACAAAGGTCAGATAACCTTCTTAGATTTGCCCAGGTTGTAATCAGTAAGCTAAGATTCTAAGGCCATTTTCCTCTGCTCATGGACTGAAGCCCTGAAACCTGCAGCCCAGTCCTCCAAGCTTTACTCTACGTCTCATTAAAGTTACATGGAATGTGAGTTTTGAATTGTCTGCGACTATGACAGAAAAATGCCTATTTAGGTTGTCTAAGGACAACCAGAGCAGGTGACATAAAAAAGCTTCTATTTGTGGTGACAGTCATCTCCAGAATTTGCCTGCCTACCTGGTTTTGTTTCCTTCTAAGATGTTTCTTCCATTGAAAGGTCATGTATGTAGAAACTTTTGAAATAGGCAGTGAATTTTATCAGCCAGTATGAAAGCACTTGTTTCCATGTTTGCATTTAAAACCTTTGATGTTAGGGAGTGAGGGGACACAGCACAGTTGGTAAAATGCCTCCCAGATCCCCAGCACATCTGTAATCAGAACTCTGGGGATACTCTGGGGCTCCCTGGCCAGTCAACCTAGCCAAACCAATGAGCTCCAGATCCAGTGAGAAACTCTTTGAAAATAATAATTACAAAGAAGAGGTAATGAAGTTGAAAGGGAGTGAGCAGGATTTGGGAGAAGTTGGAGGAAAAAGTGCAGGGTGGAAATAATGTAAATATGGTACTTACTATGAAATTGTCAAAAATCATAATAAAATAAGAGAAAGACAGCTGATATCCACCTCCGCCCCTACATGCATTTGATATATTTATTCACAAACACACATTTAATTGTTTGAAATTTAGATCTTTGATATCCTTAAAAATTGAGATTTCTGCTTATCTCTACCTATACTAGATTAAAAAAAAAAACTCAAGCTAGGTATAGGTTTGAATACAATACAACAGTAAAATCATCTGTGGCATTCGGTACAATGTAATTTCAGCCATAAAATGTGCAAATAAGGCTAGAAAGACAACTCAGCAGGTAAAGGTATTTGCTGCCAAGCCTGACATCCTGAGTTTGATCCCTGGAATCCACATGGTGGAAGGAGAAAATTAACTCTAAAAAGATGGCCTCCGACCTCTACACATGTGCCATGGTACACATGCCCGGTCACATACACACCAAAAATAAATACATAGGTCTAAAAATTAAAGTGTACCTATAAAGAATATGTTACATCATCCTGTGGCTCAAGGTTTATACTTCCCCTACGTTGTCCTTGTCATGCACTTGGGGGATTTGGGTACAAAAGATGTCATAGTGCTGCATCGAGGGGAGTGTTAATGCTTGTCATCATTCTTATCACTGCTTCATATACTTAGTTCCAACTTGTGGTAGCTCTAACATGCTTTGGGGTTACATCCCCAGAGGTTCACTATATAAAATCCAATCACCTATATTCACTGCAGTAGTCTTAAGTTTTAAATTTGGAAATATTTCAGGGAGGTCCCAGATTATCCTAATGAACCAAGAGTCATATATTTTGCTCAACATTCTTTGGCAAAACTCACTTCCTTTGGTACAAAGGGAAACATACTGACAGTGAAATGGTCTTCTGGGAACCCTGAAAACTGGCCTGAGATCATGTGTCAGGTGGTTTGTAGTCCAGCAATAAAAGCGAGACTTGTTTCTCAGACAATTCTGCGCTCTCATCCTGTGCCGTGCCGTGGGCAGCCTTCCATAGGGTGATCAAGAAGGCAGAAAGGACAGCCCCTGTTTTCAAACTTTCTCAGCTAGAAAGTTTTGCCGCCTTGTAACCTTCTCAGTAGAAATCAAAGGGGTAATCTCGCCTTGTCCTAGCCAGGGGGCCAGAAGGGTTGTGTGTTCAGTAGGTTTTGCAGTCTCCACTGTTTTATTTGATAACAAGCCTTCTGCACGAGGCAACCAAAAGGCAGACAGCTGAATAGTAAGATGGATGAATGGGTGACCAGTCTGGTTCAGTCATTTTTTTTTCCTGAAATATGACTAGAAGGTTTCTATGAGGCTGTCATCTTCCAGATATCCCAGCAAGGTATTAATGCTAAGAACAGACCTGAGGCCTTGACTTCCCTGTGGGTAGATCCACTCAGCAATTAGTATTTCATGAAGAGAACAATAGAGCCCAAAGAGAAAAAGAATTCATGTGGGGACATTTGCCTTTTTAATCTGGCTTTGGCTCTTAGAACGGGTGATTAATAGGCTTTAAGTTTAATATTCTGGGATCATTACTAATATTAACTTCAGAACAAACAAAAATGATGAGGGGAAGGAAGAACTTATAAAGGTTTCCCTGCCTCAAACAGCTTTGTAGTCAGTCCTATGACTGGCATCATGTAGGTTGCAGCTGCCCATGAGGTTCTCTTAGGTCTTGCTTGCCTCCTATCTGGTTCCCCTCAAGGCCAGACAAGAGGTTGTTCCTCTTGTGTACACCTATGTGTGTTCACTCATAAATGATTTTTTAAATAAAACAGTGATGAGGCCCTTGCCATTACTTACTTCTCATTTGATGAAACATGTAATCTTCACTCCTGGAGACTGAATTCCATAAGCCCTCAAATTCTACTCTTCAAATTATAGTCACTAAGTATCCCTTCTTGAAATGTCCACAGTTAACGCTACAGTTCATTTTTAACATATATGTTTACATTTAATAAATATTATTTCTCATGTCATTGTATCATACCAGCTGTTTGGTTTCTATTCCAGGAGCTCTGCAAATTGAGGAGTTCCTCTCAGTGCAGATTTGTCTGATCATCATCACAGACATCAGTATTTTCTCCTAGATATGAAAAGCTCCATACTGAGAACGATCTAACCAATGTGTCAGGTTCCATAAAAGCACACACTCAGCTATGAGGGATGCACATAATTTTCCTTTTCTTGGTCTGTTGTGTGGGAGAAATTTCATCATCCTTTCCTTAATATCATTTAAAAAAGAACAAGTCAGCTAACCATACTTGTCTTTCCAACAGCATTATGCTAACTTCTCTCTATTAACTTTTTTTCTTTCCCTAAGTGTTTTTGGAAGGTATTTACTTAAGAAAAAAATCGGGGTGGTGCTTGTTGGATTTCCAGCCACTTCGCTGGCAGAAGGTCGGGCTCGGTTCTGCCTTTCATCAGCACATACTCGGGAGACATTAGATGAAGTGAGTATCCATCTACCAGCAGAATTTCTGGTACCCTGAATTCTGAGCAAGTACTTTTATTTTGCTATCTTGGGGTTCTCTACAGTGACTCAGGAAAAGAAAATGAATGTCAAATGAAACTCACTGCTGCAATTTTAAAACAACAAACCACTATGGTATATCAACAATATCCAACAACATGCCCAAATCATTAGATAGAAAAGGAAATCCATTTACTGAAGATTTGATTAAAGTCAAACTTTGGGTTTCATAGAAAAGACTGAGCAGCCAAATATTCTACTTGTCAGCTCTGAAAAGTAAAAGCTGATCTTATACACACCTTAAGCATTACTATCTGATACTTTTACAAGCACAAAAGCTTCTGTAATAAAATATGAGCTAACTTAAACAGTATTTACAGGAAAAAATAACAAAGACTGTATAATAACAATCACATTTGAGTCAGGAAGAAGTAATTTCAAACCTGTATTTCGTTGTCATTTTCATTTTAAGTTTTATGTGAATAGTATCCAAAAACTGAGCTATCTTGGTCAGTCTGAAGTTAACTATCCCATTATATTAATGAATTTTTATAAACACTCTTGTGTATTTATCATATTCAAAACCTGGAATAAAATGTTAGATAATATTGACAAACTAAATGAAAGAAAACTAATGATAATTCCAGACAGAATAAATTTACTATGAGAAGAAAATAGGGAGCACTGTGGGAGCATAAACCTGTGGGCAAATTAGTATAGTGATGAATATTCACAAAGAAAATGACTTTTCAGATGGGCCTTCTTAAGTAGCAATTATGGAGCATCATTTAGTCATTCTGACCACTAAAGTAACATGATCAGTCACTGTGAAATAAGTGTGACAAGTAGGTTAGAGAGGAAAGAACCTGGAGAAAAGGAGATGAAATGAAGTCATTTGAAACAAAAGTTGACATGCGTTCCAATGGCAGTGGAAACAATAACAAAAATGAATCTATGAACACACACTATGAATGCATGAATTGCCAAGATTTGACAAGTGACTAGATGGAGGGAATGCCTGAGCAGAAAAGACCAAAGGTAATTCTCTAGATCTCTAGCCTTGTTGAACAGAAGAATGAAGGTGAAGCTGTAAATGAGAGAAGGCAGAGAGTAAGGATCAGAATATCTTTAACGAGAGTGGAGGAATAAGAGTGTGTGCCTATGGACCATTGATGAAAGTGAAAATTTATTCTAGAGCTCAGAAAATATTGCAAGCCTAGAGATACTGTAGTTTATGGAACTGAGGGGATGACAAAGTCAAGGATAGGGAATTAATTCCAGTAGAACACATATATCCTGAGACATGGAATTACAGGTGGGAATTTAGGTAGAGCTAAAACTGCCAGGAAAGATGTGGAATGCTATACTGTTAAGTACACTAAACATCAGTTTCCAGAAAAAGGACAGAAAAGTTACATAAAAACAAAAAAAATGCTCAAACAGGGTAAGAGATGAAAAGAAACTACTGAATTAGCAATTCCTGGGAGCTCAGTGTTCCTCAGAGTGGGCAGTTTTATGAGAATGAAGGGAACAGAAATGAGAGCACAGTGAATAAAAAGGTGAAGAGTATCGTTGGAGGTTGAATCAAGCACACATGGGGAAAGGGGATAAGGGGAGAGGGATGGAGAGGGTAGGAGAGGAGAGAGAGATAGGGGAGAAATGGAGAGAGGAAGAGACAGGGGAATCGAGGAGAAAGAGATAGAGACAGAGGGGACAGAGGAAAGAAGATACAGACAGAGGCAGAGACAGACAGACAAACACACAGACAGATACGCAGACAGACGGGAAGAAATGGAAAGAGGGAAAGGCAGAGACAGAAAGGGAAGGAGAGGAGAGGGAGCAAAACAAAGGGGAAAGATAGAAGAGAAGACAGAGAGAAGGACAGACCGGGAGGAGGAAGGAAAGGGTGGAGGAAGGTTTATGCCTGTTTACACAAGAAAATAAGAAGACAATAATGAGGAAAGCTTACTGAAAAGCTTACTGAAAAGAAACTGAAAAGAAGATATGAACAGTGAGAAAGCTCCAAAAGGTGACAGGAATGGGATGGATAGCAGAAGATACTTTTTTTATTTCTTGTGGTCCAAACAGCATTAAGACCTCAAGTATAACCAACTCTGTAGTAATCAGACCCTGGGCTTCCTTTTACAAATTATTCATTGCTCTGAAATATCTGACATGCTAGGATGTATCAACTTGACAGTTGTTTCTCTGATCACACAACCATTTCAATATTAATGTGTGAGCACTTATTTAATATAACATAAAGTGAAACTTGAACCTGTGAACTAGTCTTCGGACTAAGGTAGCAACTGGCAATGAACACTTACAGAATATACACAATATTAGACGAAAGCAGTTGGAGGGTTAGGGAGATAGTGACATTGGTAAATTGTTTGCTGTCTGCAAGCATGAGGACCTGAATGTGAATTCAAAGTCACCAATGCAAAAAGAGCTGATGGTGGTAGCATGTGTGCCTATAATTGGGGAAGCAGAGATTGGCACAGCCCTGGAGGTTGTTGAATCAGTGAATTTCAGGTTCAGTTAGAGACACTGCCTCAAAAATTAAAGTGGAGAACAATACTGAAAGCATTGGCCTAGCCTATATCTGGTCTCCATGCACAGGCACATGTGTGTATACCTTGAATGTGTGTGCATACACACGAACACACACATACGTAAAACACCTAAAAAGAGAAAGGGGAGTCATTTTCAGAGACCAGGTTTGGGAACAGAAGAGACACAGGCTAGTGTAGCATCTTCCTTTTCTGGCTCCTCTGTGACAGCTCTAGCTTTCCTTAGTCATTTTGCTCCCAAATAAAGGTGATAAATACATAGCCAGCCAGTGGATTCTTGTTAGTACCCAAGGCAGAATTTGTGTCTGCTTCCTTAGAAATCACCGCCAGTGTAAACTCAATGCAGAAAGAATCCCCTCTCTTCTAACTCCTGTCCCAGAAGTGCCCATGGGTCTGTCTGCAATACTCTTCCATATTTCAGCAAGGACTTTAATATGAAACTTAAATATGTGTGGTGTTGATTCTTTGTAAGTCTGAATTGTGTTATTCCATGGAATATAGAAATAGGTAGTTTTAAAAAAGATGGGTGTTAGGAGTAAGTTTTGAAAGATGCAGCTATTAGCTTCCCAGATGTTCTATTTTGTTGGTTTACTCTGTTACGAAGATATACTCTCTAATGTATTTCACAACCCTATTATTTTCTTCTATGGGATTATATGCAAGTCTTAAAATAAATAAAAGATTTAGATGGGTCAGATGTCTAAGTTCCTCTCCTCACACTCATCCAAAACAGAGCATTCACAATGTTGAGTTAAAGCACTGAATAAAAAGAATTACCATCCAATATTTCTCTAGGATGCTTAGAGAGATTAGGTCAGTTGGCTAAGTGCTCACATGCAAGCATGAGGACCTGAGTTCAGTTCCCAGAACCCACTTTAAAAAAAAAAAAAAAGCTTAGAGCAGTGACATGTGCTTGTAATACCAACACTGGAGGAGGGGACTGGAAAAAGAAATTCCTGAGACTCATTTGTCAGCAAGCTCCGGGCTAGCAAAAGGCCCTGTCTCAATAAACAAGCTGAATGACTCCTGAAGAATGATTGCCAAGGCTGTTCTCTGACCATCTCATACATGTATACACACATGCATATACACGTGTACACCATACAGGTACCCACAGAGACAAATTGATTAATTAATTAAAGTTCTAGGACTTACAAACCAAACCTAATGACATGGACCTTTGCTGGAAAAACATTACTGTGGGTCTTTGGGAAGTTTGTCATTAAACTGGGCTCTGCACAGTAAACCACTTAAGAGTTGAACAACAACTTATGGAAGGGCATCTCATTGCAGGTTTTGGAAGTCGTTGATAAACTCGGTGATATGCTGAATGTGAAATATTTCCCATGCAAAAAGTCAGGACGCCCTGCACTCTACAATGAGAAGAGTTTTGACAATGAAGCAAGCTTTGATGAGGTGAACATGCAACCTGAAGCATAAGTTTCCAAGCTCTGAATGGAACATAAAGGCTGCCAGAGACTTCCTACCCCTTCGTCTCACAAGTAATAGAACTGTACTTTACCCCTTCCTAGGGACAATTTTACTTTCCAAACCAGCTTAATTGAGTGAGGGAAATAGTCATTTCTTTAATGTCTCTAACCCACTGCTACAAATCAAAATTATGTAATTCTAGATATACATTTCCCTACCCTTTTCTGGAACTACACAAATGAACACTTTCTTTAGAGTATTTGTTAATGACAAGGAGCCTGTGTTCTAGCTGCTACTCTGAAGCTTTTGAGTCAGACCCTTTCAGGGGCTCCAACTTAATGAAAGGATTTTGATTTTTAACTGGGTAATCTTACTGTGTGTTCAAATATGCCATCTACACACATGGGAAAGAGGGACAGAAAGGAGCTGAGTCTCTCATTCAACCCATAACAGTACCAGGAACAGTTCATATGTATACTGGAAAGTTTCAGGAAGGACAGACGACAATGTTGCTTCTATTGTTTGTCACATCTTGACTTTATCCAAGGACAGGAATCAAAAGACACAGTTAATGCTTGGGTGATAATGTGAAACTGGCCAGTAGTGACCAGAGCCATCTTTGAAGTGAACCTTCTTATTCCTCTTGGTGCTCTCCTGCAATTTTGTTTAGTTTTGAGGACTGGAAAGTTCATGGCTCTTGTTTTCTAAAGAGGAAGAAGGAAAGCAAGCACAAGTCACTTTTGGACCTAGATTAAAACTGTAAAATTGAAGCAACCCAAATGATGCTGGTGCAATGCAGAGTGAGTCTAGCATGTACAGCCTTAATAACTTCCCATTTTTATATTGAATTCTGAGTACATAGTGAAACTCAATTTCCTTTAAAGAAATCACTATCACCACACATTCCCAAATTACACTTGGAGAATGGACTGACTCAACAAGGTATTTAAAAAGTGTACTTTTTCTCTGTCTCTTTCAAGGCTATATATCTATAGATACAGGTCCAGTAAATAATATCCTCCATGGCATACTGATACTCAGATACTCAGATTTGGCAAGAAGCAATATTGCACACTTTCGTGCAACTATGATTCATCACCCTCATACACACAGGAATCTCTGAAAAATTAGTCCTCTGCTAATTGGTTCTAGTTGGTATGGAAAAAGGCAGTGGAAAACCTTATCTTTAACAAGTTCCCAGATGGTGCCCAGACTTGGAAACTCCAAAGAGCAGTGGTGACCTTTTAGCCAAGCTTCTGTAACAGTTCGAATGAGTTACAGAACATTCCACTCCATCAAATGACATTGTAAACAAATCACTTTAAAAGAACTTTGGCTCTGTGTGACACAGATGGGCCCAAGCTTTCATGCTGTGCACAGACACAGAAATTCAACCTGCAACACCAATGCTGGATGGGGCAACACTGACACTCAAAAATTGTTGGAGAAGACAGTGATACATACCCACGCAAAGCTTTTTTTTTTTTTTTAAAAAAAGTATAGCCCCTTGGTGGATTATATGTTTTTCTAGTGGATCTCTTGGTGCTGGAGATGACTCAGCAGCTGAGAGCACTTACTGCTATTCCAGAGAGGACCTGAGTTCAGTTCCCAGCACCCAGGTTGGGTTGTTCACAACCACCTGTAACTCCAGCTCTGTGGCATCTGATGTCTTTGGCTTCTGTGGGTACCAGGACTCACATGGGCACATCCACATGCAGACCCACACACATACACATAGTCAAAATCTAGTAAAAATAAATCATTTTTAAAAGTGGTTCCCAGTTATAAAATGCCTCATAAGTGGTGGAAAGCTAAAGGAGTGCTGTGGGGAAGGTGAAAAGGAAATGGCTATTATGTGCACAGCTGCCCAATCCAAGACTGGCCTGATAACTAGATTCCAACCCTTCTCAGTGAACTGGTGCAGCATTACTTCTGCAGAGAAAACACATGTTATATGATGCATAAAGCAAGGAAGACGTGTAGGTCTTTTCTTTATAATATGTGCGTTCAATGAAAATGTTCTTAATAAATCATCTAAACTATGCAGAATACTTTGGAGTTCAAAACAGGAAAAAGGCAGTAAAGAGGGCAGAGAGAAACCTATGCTTGCATACTAACAGTAAGCTTACCCCTTCTTCTCTAGTTCCATCTGTTATCATCACCTACAGTGTTACACGTGCCCTAAGATCTTAAACCACCAGAGGGACAGGTGTCTTCCTGAGTAAGAATGCCCATGCTTATTACTGGCAAGGAGGAACTTGTGTTCGTTATGGAGAAGTTATTTTCCTGCCCAGCATGCAAAGCAAGGAGGAGGTTCTTTCCTTTTCATTAAGATCTGAAGGTCCTGGAGCAACTTTTTACCTTTCCATACACATATAGAAAGACTTACTTTTGTCAGAGTCTACAATGAATATACACTTAGGAAAAGAACTGTAATTCCAGTAGAATGCTTCCTGAGTGAGGAGAGACCCTGGCTCCATTGAGTATCAATATGAGTCTATATCATATAGAAAGTTGTGAATTATAAGTAACATTGATTTTTATAAGGTAAGATGTCCTGTAGGTTAGTTAAGACTGATTTCAAGTCAGTAGTTACAACTGCATTTTAATAATCATAGTTTGGTTCTGTTGGGATCAAGGACTCTCTGAATTATAGTGTTTTACATCCCAACCACCTTCTTTGCCTGTACCCATACACACACACACACACACACACACACACACACACACACACACACACACACAAATATGCATAGATACTTTTACTGGTTTTGAAAAGGAAGAAGAGAATCAACAGATAAATGAATGTCTGACTGAATGACTGAGAGATGGACGCACTAGAAAACCAGCCTCTGTAGGTTCCAGGCCAATATTGTAAGGAAGACAATTTTATATAATGAAAGAACGACAATCTTATCATGGTATGACAATGTCATTGATACTTAGCTTTAATGCCTTTTGACACAATTTGGTTTGACAGAAACCACAGGCTTCAGAATTTACTAGGAAGCTTGGTAACATGACAAACCATGAGGTTCACACTAGACCACCACTGAATCTGATCACAGTGATTCCCAGGACACTACATTTTCACAAGCCTCCCCAGGTAACTCCAACGTATGCCAGAATTTATCAACCATTATTAGAGCTTTTGGAAGACCAGTTGGTTCCTGTAACATAGAGGAAATTTTTCTGATTCTTTGTTGATGTCAAAGGTTGTTTAGTAAACATGCTTCTCTCTTCCTCCTCAATGGGCCATTTTCTAAGAAATGTCTATCTCTATGAAAAAAAGGCCCAACATTGAAAAGATCTTCACAAGATACCCTTTTTTCCCTTTATATTTGATTCCTTTTAATATTCTCCTCCTCAACCTTTGACTATTACAACTCTGCAGTAGTGTTATTCTTGCCAGTTCCTCATATATACAATGCTCCTCTACATCTTCTCTCACAAGTAACAGATATATAAAATTCTAGCTCTTATTTTAAAATCTAAGTTCTGAATACTTGGACTATCTTAAATACATACTTTGATATATAACAATCTTAATTTTGAAGATAGTAACAGTGTATTTGTATTCTATACTCTTCCAACACCATACCCAATTAGGTAGTGTTTTGTAAATCAGGAAGAGAGTATTTCCCTGCTTTGGGGGAAAAGCTCATCAGTAATGTATTTCCCATGCAAGCATGAAGCTCTGCTAAGCTCCATCCCAGCACTTATGTAAAAAGTCAAGCATGGTGACATAAGCTTGTGATCCTAGCCCTGGAAAGGCAGAAATAGGTAGACTCCTGGGATTTGCTAGCCATCCTACATGGCCTTATCGAGGAGCTCCAGGTCTTAGTGAGAGACCACTCACTTTAAAAATAAAGTGGATGCCGGGCGTTGGTGGCACACACCTTTAACTCCACCACTCGAGAGGCAGAGGCAGACGGATCTCTGTGAGTTCAAGACTAGCCTAGTCTACAAGAGGTAGTTCCAGGACAGCCTCCAAAGCCACAGAGAAACCCTGTCTCAAAGAACAAAAAAAATAAAAAATAAAAAAATAAAAAAATAAAGTGGCTGCCTCCTGAAGAACAGCACTCAAGGTTGACCTTTGACCTACACACACACATACACACACAAACACAAACACACAAAAACACACACACACACACACACACACACACACACACACACACAAGAGGAGACTAATGTCTAGGCTATTTCTGTAGTATATTATTTTTGTGGCATTGTGAAATACAGTATATAAGGTGTGAATCTGTTTATGTTTCACTGGGACATTTGAGATGACCAGTTTCTATTCACCCTGCCTGTAAAATGTTACTTAAATAAACAAATCACTAAAATCAACACTACAAAAATCATAAATGGTTTTGTGTTGATGTCATTTAAGTCAGTCTTGGGGGGAAAGATGGGTAGAAATTTGCATCTAGGAATTTCACTAGAGGCAATTGGTGGAGGTAGCTGTAGCTTGAGAGGCATATACTTTCATGAGAACCAACTGTGCATAGATCCTTCCAGATCCTTCAGTGGCATCAAAATGGAAACTTGAAATTGTCCACAGAGGGAAACCTGACATCACAGAAAGGAACAAACACTACAAATCATGGGTTGGGAGGTCTGGCTTTTCGAACGTTAACAGCACACCACTGAAACCAGGCACTATGGTACAATTAATGTATAATAGTGTAATCATTATATATTAATGGAGAACTGTGAATATATATTTACAGGGAACTGTGTGGTTAGAATGTCCATTAGCACTAAAACTGACGGAACAAAGCTGGTCTCCAATCAACCAAACAAACCTCCCAGGAAGAGGTGTAGGGCAAGGGTTAGCCCAGGCAAGACAATTCTGTTCAGTTAGAGATGATTCCTGTGACCTATCATTTAAGAGTCATTCTAAGATAGCCACTTAAAATTTATAATAGAAAAAATAAACATAGAGTTGAATAGGATAGCATGATGAATCCAATACACCTATGATCATGCTCTAAGGGTTGTCA